GAGGACTGGGAAGAAGATTGATACAGCTAACCGACGACCTTAAACAAGGAAAGAAGATGACGTTCCAGGAATTAAAGCGAGAAGCCGAGAATAGGGAAAACTGGAGAGCTCTTTTTGGGCAGAGCAATGGACCTGTCGTAAGACAGAACACTTAATAATAATAAGCATTCTCAACTATGCAGAGCAAGTATCGATCTGTTGATCTAGGAACAATAAAAAAGTTTTGGGCGTGTGAAACCCTGCCACTGGATGGCATGTAACATTTTATGCTAGTTGAAATATATTACAACAGATCAATGCCATATGCACATAAAAGACTCAACAAAAGGACAAAAATTAACTCAAAGTAACACACGCAAAAGCACCCATAATCGAATGTCAAGAACATAAATAAAATGCAATCTAACCTGTTATTTTGGAACTCATCAACCCAAGGTCGGAAAGGCTAAAGGCAGGTGGCAACACTGATGATTTTGAGTCCATAACCAAGTCCTTCCTGATGAAAATCTTGTTTGCCGCATTTGATGACAAACCTGGAGCACTGTTATTTATTCCAACAGACGACGAAAAATCTCTCTTCTCAGTCATCGGTTTTCTCTCGTGCTGGACGGCTAGAACATAGGGAGCTTAGAATGTTTCTCGTGTCTGTTTCATGCAACACGTATCAGCTTTACATAGCTTGTGCATTACACAGGAAACATAACACAGACTTCTCATTTTCTGGCTAATCTATTACTTCCATACATTTTAAGTGATAACTACAATTTGATTCAAGTATACTGAATGATATCTTAACTGGATTGTTATCAACCAATTACACTAGACCAAGACCAACAATGACAACAGCATCCCTTCTGTACACTTAACACCCCCAGTGTTTGGATGGACAAGCCGATGTTCTTATCTGCGAGAGCTCAGTTGAAATACTATTAGGAAAGAAATGATGCAACTTGCCAATTTTTAAAATTACATATCTAAATTCTTTCAGTATTAAAACAACAATAATAAATATTGCCAATAAAAGATGCCTATAAGTTTGCACAAAAAATGTCTTCATCTGAACAATGTAGCTTATAAAAAGTAAAAAGAACTCCATATCAAAGCATTTAGAGTCACAGTAACAGGCAACTGAATTCTAACAAAAAATAAAACCATTTATTTTTATTGAATTTGAAACTCAACAAATACACAAATTATTTGGACTTAATGAAAAGTAATATTTATGGTCTAAATCTAGGGAGTGGTTCTCCAGCCTCATGGTTGGGCACGGAGTAAATATTCCTCACTGTAAAAATCAAGCATGTTATAAAATGTCACACAAATGGCATCCAACATTGACAAATTCTTTGGAATAATCAAAGCCATAGACACGCTCTTGTGACCACAGTAAAGAACTCTGAGCTTCCATAAAAGGCAGGGAATTTATCCGCGAAGCAACTATCAGCGCCACAAGGCGAAGCAATAAGCCATTTAAAGGAGTATCCATCCAATGGGCTAATGAGCACAGGAAAACTATTTTTTCTCTGGAGCAATGAACAAACCAATTAGATTCAACAAAAAAACTGAAAAGGTGTAATCTCTACTGGAACAGAGGCACGTATCCTTTGAAAATTCTGAATTATTAATCAGTTACCTTAGTTAGACAACTTTAGAAATATAAACCAATACCAATACGCGTAAGACATATTAGCTCTATAGAACACTAGTCTCATACACATGGGATCGTGAGATTGATCCCTGTCAAATCAAGATTTTTTTCTTCCTTCAACCATGTTGTAATTTTAATTTACAGAAAGAATTACTATACAAAAAGTTACGCACTTTCAAAAAATTTACGAGCGCATGACACTGAATGGCCCTATTGCAAGTAGCAATAGTGTTCAGCACACCTCACAAGTTTGTTTGTCAGTTATGTTGGTATTACTGATTGTAAGAAGTTGTAAACCATGATTTTGAGGTAGTCTACAACAGCACAATTCCCATACCGAATTGCATCCAAATCTGTCCAGTGGTTCTTCAGTTGAAATATATGGGCTGACATACAGACATGACCAGCACCACACGTGTTCATTTCACGCACATCGTGCAAAGAACACACAATAACTGTGATGCATACATAATTTATAACAAACTTAACAATCACACACTGAACTTGTTTTATTACCGCAACAGTTATCTTGGATAGCTATTTAAAATTGCATTTCAGTAACTGAAACACGCAAGCAAAATGCACTTAACTACATACGGAAATAAACATGGAACTGTGAATTTACTAAATAAGCAAACACACAAAACTGAATGACCACGAAAGCCTGTTAATCGCAATGTTTTCACGGTCTGTCATCATGGCTCTTAATTTCCTTCATCACTCTATTTTGGATTGCCCCACATAAGGCGATCTTCATTTCCAATTATCTTCTTTGAAACCCTGGTCTTTTAAAGTTTCTGGCCATCACGTACTCCAAAATCAAATGCTACGGCCCTAGATCCCAATAGAAGATTCCTGTTAATGGTGTTCAACTTGGACTGCCTGTAAGCGTGACACTGTTGATGGTTAATCAAACATTATACAGGTATTAAAGGTAAATTTACACGTAAGTAGTTTCTCAGTATGCCTGTCAAGCTGCCTGATATGATACGATCAGCATCCTTTGTGAAGCATTACCTTCACTTAATCAGTTGTAAGATCACAGAAACTCTCGAATAAAAGCACTGAGCTCCAGGCGTCCCATTAAAACAATCTTCATCTGTTCATGCATTAAATCTACACTCATGAAGCCTTTTTCTTGAGCCATCACAATGCTGTCTTGGAGAACGCCTTCAGAGAATTCCGTAGGTATGCAACTATCACCTGTAAGACTTGAGGTTCTCACAGCGGTGAGTATGAAGATATCCGTCTTCTGGGTTATTGCGCTGTGTAGTCTGGTCGATGTTAACCAACGTTTCAGAGACTACACAGCGCAATAACCCAGAAGACGGATATCTTCAACTATCACCTGTTGGTGAAGATTGCTAGCACGATTGTACAGTGCTGCTTCCTTATTCTGGCAGTCTGAATGTGAACTGCTTCTTCCCCAGCAGCACTGACAGTGCAAAAGAATTTGGGAGTTTGATCTGCATTCCCTATAAGAGAAAGCATATAACTGAGTTGCTTTCTCAGTCACATCACGTATCTATAAGAAGAGAACAACTTTTCTTCATATTGCTCCGGCAGCATTTGGGAAATAGACGTTCTTCTTCCAGTGGTTAAAGAACCAATGATAGGTGACTTTAAATTCAGCAGGCAAAATGTCCATTTCTCTTGCAATTTTGCTTGCTTCCAGCTTTCTCATTCTGGCCAAAAGAACAAAACCTATTACCTATATAACACATTTGTACAAATCAGTTTCTACTAGTGAATAAACATATTTCCTTCAGAAAATTGTAAACCAGTTTTTCTATATATTATGCAGGTGGTCCCCTCTGCTGCATCACCTTCTTACATTGGCTTCGTCTATGTCAAAATGTCTTCCTGCAGTATGTCTTACCACGCCCTTCAGCACACCAAAGCACTTGTACCAACTCAACACTAAACAATCAGACACAAAGTGAAACTTTCGCGGCGACTGAAGTCGATGAAAGACTCCCGGGTCACAAGCCGCATCAGGCAGAAGATACGGTTTATTCGCGATTCAGCAGCCTGACGTGGCTTGTAACACGAGAGTCTTTCATCAATATCAGACACAAATTTATTCCAAAAATTAGAAATGATGCTCATTGCTCTATGTTTTTTTTTCCAACACAGCTCAAAATATTCCTATGTACAATCTTTACATAGAACTCCAACCCACAAGCAGTGTTGCCTTTTCTATAATTTTAAGAAATAAAGCCAGAGTTCCTTACACATTAAAATTCTACAGTTAACCTTCTGATCTGCATTGTACTACATCATTCATTGTTAAACATAAAGCATGTTACTCTTTTTATAAACAGCAAATACTGTTAGTTCCTTATCGCTTGGTGTTCACAAGAACTAAAATCCTACTCCATGTTTCTAATTTAATTTTCTCCTTCTGAGCACTTGATTTTTTTGTGGTCTAGCGGTTAGAACGCTGGCCTTGTAATCCTGGGGTCTCGGGTTCGATTCCCGGCGGTGCCCGAATTTATAACTTGTGTTGGGCAAGGCCGTGGTCTAGGCAACACGGAGTTTTCCTCCGTGGCATCCCAACAATTACTCCATTCACACACAGAAGAAGGCAATGGCAAACCACTTCTGGATCATCTGCCAAGAACGTATATGAACAGGTCCCAGTCCGAGAAAAGGATGGAAGGATCCTGTTCATATGGACCTGTCGTCAGACAGAACACTAAATAATAATAATAATCATCAAAACACCCTCATAACCACTAATAATTATGTGAGATTTGAGGTTCCCACAGCAGTGATGATATTGATGATGATGATGTTCTGGGTTCTGGTGCTGTGTGGACTGGTTGGCAGATGCCAAAATGTTGACACGTCCACATGATGCTAAAACCCAGAAAGGCATCATCGTTAACCATAAATACAATCTGCAAATCCAGTTTTAAGGTACTGGATTACTTGTAGCTTAAGCTTGTGTATTCCTCGGCCATATTTCACTATTATCAAATAAAACTATTTGCAATCATGATGAAACTACTACTAAACATGGCTTTAGGTCACTAAGAGACACTGCGCAAATACTGCACGACAGAATGTGCAGTGCAAATAGTTGTCATAGAACTGCTATAACCAAGGTCTTTTGAACTTAAAAGATTTTCACTTATACTTAAGAGAAAATTTAACTTAGAAACTTTGACGTGACATAGTAGCAGCATTCTATTCATTCTTTATTTTCTTACTAAAATTCAAGTACAGCTTATACAGGCTGTTTCACAACTAGTGTTACACACATCAGAGAGTGATTATGGAGGTAATTTTGAGTAAGAAATGTTAATACAACATTGGTTCTGCTTCCATTGTGAAACTATGTTGGTTTCAAGGCAGATGCAAGGTAAAATAAATCAGAGTAATAGTCAGATGAATTTATTGTTATATTTTATAAGATATATCTTATAACTGTTTAAAATATCTGCTATGGTTTTCAACCAACAGCCTTGCTCATTACAAATGACAATTCCTGTGGGTTGTCTCTTTCATAAGATTCCGTAAAAACAAGTCAAGTAGGGTTAGAGGTCCACAGATCTCAGTGGCCAAGGCACTGAACAAACCCAATAATTTTCATAGCAATGACCACAATCTGCAGCACCCAACTGTGCCGAAAGAAATAAAATGCAATCTCCAAAGGTATATCATTAAAACCGGCAATTCATTTGTCACAAGTTCAGATAATTATCAGCAGTTAAACGCTGTTCCAACACAAATGGTCCAATCAGCTGATCTCAAATCAGACCACGCCAAACATTCTCACACAGAAGAAGGCAATGGCAAACCACTTCTGATCATCTCTGCCAAGAATGTATATATGTATGAGCAGGTCCCTGACAACCTGAAGAGGTTGGAAGGACCCTGTTCATAATATATGGACCTGTCATCAGACAGAACACTACAAATAAAAAAAAAAAGTGGTAACATCTTCAACCCAAACCAACACCAGTATCGTCAAGTACCAAAGTACACACAGGAAGGTATTGTAATTTACGCATCTAAAAACACCCACAGCTCTGCGACGCTTTAATCACACTCTGATGTAATGCACACTGGTCGTGAAACATCCTGTATATGCGCGTGACTTATATTCACATAAATAACCACTGCATTACCAGTATAAGAAACGCAGAGGACGTTCACAGCTAACAGGGACTTTCCAACTGACACTATGAGCAACCTCAAATCAGAAATTAACTACTCCGTACACAATATGGAAAAGAGCCTATACACCCAAGCTGTCAATTTGAAATCAATCTAGTGATACCAACATAAAAAACTGAACTTGTTTCTGAAAGATACTTCAGGAAATTAATTCTCGTTTCCTGTGGAATGGTCTGCGTATAATCACAGGCAAAACCAACAAAACTTACCATGTTTCCTGTGGAATAGTCTGCGTATAGTCACAGGCAAAACCAACAAAACTTACCAATATGGAACTGGAAATACCAATGTGAAAAACAGTGTTTGCCTCACAAAGAAAAATGGTGATGATGGTAGACCTTTCCTACTTATGTTTAGTTAAGAGAACATATTATTAAAACCTAAACTGAACAAAATCAGTGATAAAAAACATAAATATTAAACTGTTGTTTCCACAGCTGATGCAATGCACAACTTTACTTGCATTTCTTTCTTCATTTCTCGTGACCGTCAGAAACCCAAAATGATCTGACCCAACTTCTATTGACGTATTACAAGCCATCCAATCCCTGCATGAAAATTACCCATACACTAAAATAGGACATGAAATGAGGCGTACATTTGTTTCAATTTGATCAACTGACAGTATGTTAAATTACAACAATCTTTACAAGAATCATTAAAAAAAATTAAAAATTAGTGAACGCAATCTTTTACCCCACATAATACAAAACCTTCTGATGCATCTTGCAAGATAACGCAGATTAAAAAAACGTCTTGCTGCATTCATGCGCAAAATTACAGTCCGATGTCATGTGAACCTGAGCGAGTAACTGAGAACAAAAACAGGTCATCACACAAGCACATACTTGTTAGCATAAAGATCCAATATAATAGCATTATAAAATCATAAAAAGGAAATATTTAATTAATTTTCTTTTTACTTAACTTCCAATTATGATACAAAGCAGACACCACATAAGCCTTAGACAATGATTAATGCCTCACTTAAGTTACACTCTTTGACAAAGAAAATAAATAAAACAAAGACTTGTGGTTGACATGACAATTAAGATTCTTTTCTGTTCTTTTGGGTTGAGGCTGCGTGAACCTCTACAGACAGACAATACGATTCAGGGTCCACGTGTCGCAAATCGGAACAACATTCACAAATAAATAAAAGGCCCTGCAACTTGACAAAACTTCGAAAGATAACACTTCACTGGTGAGAATGAACAAATGTTCCAGCAGCTTCTAAGCCAATTCGCTGCTAACACAAATTTATTCCACCTGAGGAAGTTAGGAGGAGACTAAATTCCGGAAATGCTTGCTACTTCTCAGTCCAAAATATTTTGTCTTCCCGTCTGATTTCTAAGAACCTGAAAATTAAAGTATACAAAACAATAATCTTGCCTGTTGTTTTGTATGGGTGCGAAACATGGTCTCTCACTCAGAGGGAGGAACACAGATTGCAGGTGTTGGAGAATCGGGTGTTGAGGAGGATATTTGGGCCTAAGAGGGAAGACGATGGGGCGTGGAGAAAACTGCACAATGACGAGCTTAAAAATCTGTACTGCTCCCCCAGTATTGTCAGGGTGATTAAGTCGAGAAGA